TGTAGGGCTTCTCTCCAGTGTGAGTTCTACTGTGGCAAATAAGGTATGATTTTCAACCAAAGGCGTGGTCACAAACTTTACATTTGTAGGGCTTCTCTCTGGTGTGAGTTCTGTTGTGGCAAATAAGGTCTGCTTTTTTACTAAAAGCTTTGGCACATTCTTTACATTTGTAGTAATTCTCTCCAGTGTGAGTTCTGCTGTGGTAAATAACGTCTGATTTTTGACCAAAAGCCTTGCCACAATCTTTATATTTGTAGGGCTTCTCTCCAGTGTGAGTCCTTCTGTGGCGAATAAGGCTTGATTTTTCACCAAAAGCTTTGCCACATTCTGTACATTTTTAGGGCTTCTCTCCAGTGTGAGTTCTGCTGTGCAAATAAGGTCTGATTTTCGACCAAAAGACTTGCCACAATCTTTGCATCTGTAGAGCTTCTCTCCAGTGTGAGTTATTCTGTGGTGAATAAGGCTTGATTTTTCACCAAAAGCTTTGCCACAATCTTTACATGTGTATTTCTTCTCTCCAGTGTGAGTTTTGCTGTGGTAAATAAGGTATGATTTTCGACCAAAAGCTTTGCCACAATCTTTACATTTGTAGGACTTCTCTCCAGTGTGTGTTCTGTTGTGGTGAATAAGATGTGATTTTTGACCAAAAGCTTTGCCACATTCTGTACATTTGTAGGGCTTCTCTCCAGTGTGAGTTCTACTGTGGCAAATAAGGTATGATTTTCGACCAAAGGCTTTTCCATAATCTTTACATTTGTAGGGCTTCTCTCCAGTGTGAGTTCTGCTGTGGTGAATAAGGACTGATTTTTGACCAAAAGCTTTGCCACATTCTTTACATTTGTAGGGCTTCTCTCCAGTTTGAGTTCTGCTGTGGTAAATAAGGTCTGATTTTTGACAAAAAGCTTTGCCACAATCTTTACATTTGTAGGGCTTCTCTCCAGTGTGAGTTCTGCTGTGGCGAGTAAGGCTTGATTTGTCACCAAAAACTTTGCCACATACTGTACATTTGTAGGGCTTGTCTTCAGTGTGAGTTCTTCTGTGGCAAATAAGATGTGATTTGTGACCAAAAGCTTTGCCACATTCTGTACATTTGTAGGGCTTCTCTCCAGTATAA